CGGCAAGGTATATCCATACGTGGCAAAGTGTGAACAAGTATTACCCACATTATGCACCATGTTACAGTTTTGAGTATTTATAATTTGTTTTATTAAATGTTTCCTTTTGATTTATTCTGTAGAATTAGTGCAATTCCGTACAGTATCACATAACAATTTGCTTTTACAACTTTGGGAGGAGGCTGAAACTGAGTTATCAGGTGACTTGGCTGCTGCTGCTGACATGGATCATGGAAGCCAAAGGAGAAAGCAAGATGTAACAGACAGAATGAAGACCCAAGTTCAGAGGAAGAAAACAGTAATGTGCATCAATATGATTGGTCAAAATGCTACAAGATGATCACAGACACCTGAATGATCCAACATTAGAACTACCTCAGAAAATGTTACAGGTTCTTCCAGGGGTGAAACCTATTAGATGGAATGCCAACACTGATTCAATGTTGGAAATTGTTTCTAATGGGTGATATGCTAGAAGATGTTTTGAAGTACATTAATAATAAGATATCTTATGTCGTGATATATATTTGAGTATTACTGTTAGTGCATATATCAGTAGTTACTCACTGATGTTACATTTGTTAAAGGAACACCAGTTGACAGTACAGGAACTATTTGTAAGGCCAAAGTGGAGATTCCTGAAAAAATGCTACAAGTTCAAAGTTGAGAAATGTATAGTACAATCTTTGGCGTCCTACATGGTGAAGAATAACAACAGTTTATAGTATTGATACTATCAACATTATACTATGATGATAAGATTGTTAGTGAAGCCAGGTGTGGTAATCCATGACTATAATCCCAGCACTCAGAGGCTGAGGCAGGAGGATCCTGTGAATTCAAAGTCAGCCTGTGCTACATAGTGAGTTCAAGGCTAGCCTGGACTACGTGGTGAGACCTTGTTTCTGACAAAACAAAACAAAAAAGATTGACAGTGAATCCTTAACACAAATGAGGCCAGAAATGATCACATTTCACAACAAAATGAAAGGTGAATTTTTTTTTTTTTTTTGTCTTTGGGTCTCTCTATGCAGTTCAGGCTGGCCTTAAGCTCACTTTGTAGCTCAGAATGGCCTCAAACTTGCAACAATCCTCCAGCCTCAGCCTCCTGAGTGCTGAGATTATAGGCGTGTGCCACCACTCCCGGCAAGGTGGAGTAATTGTTGAGGTATGCAGCAACTGTGATGGTACCCGAAACAAAGCACTGGTCAGTGGTTGTGTCTTACTCACTAGATGTCATTCTATGCAGTGTGTCAGGTCCCGTGAACGAGGTGCCCGCGGATGATGAGGAAAAGAAAAAGAGACAAGAAAAACAAGAGAGGCAAAAGTCTGGGATGGGGGGTTTACAGCCTTTCGGACTGCAGCCTCGAATACCAATTTCAGTCACCTTTTATTGAGTGAGAACCCAGGGTGTAGCTAGTACTAATGGGCGGATAATCAAAGGATTATCCTTTTCCACATATAATCCAAGACACGCCTGTAATCCCAGCACTCAAGGGGCTGAGACAGGAGGATCGCAAACTCAAGGTTAAATAAATCATTGTGTCCTTAATGCATTCTAATCAAAGAATGTCCTTCTCCACAACTGGATCTTAAACATGTCAGGCATAAGTAGTTTCACAGTTTATGAAGAAAGCAACAAGCACAAAATATCACAGAGAGACGGACCTGGTGGCGCACTCCTGTAATCCCAGTACTCCGAAGGATAAGGCAGTAAGATGGCTATAGCTTGAGGCTAGCCTGAGTTACCTAGTGAAACTCTGTCTCAAAAAAAAAAAAAAAAAAATCATGGAGAAATTTTCCTAGAGGATTTGGACTGGAATTGATAAATGATCATTTACAACAGAGGAAGAACGTATGTATCTGCGCAAAGAACCTGAAAAAAGAATTCAGGAGCAGACCAGTGAACCCAGGTGAAACATCACAAGAACCTCCTAAGAAAGCAGGAAGACCCGCAAGATGTCAAGTATGTCCTACCAAAGAAGACAGGAAAACAAAACACGTGTGCTATCAGTATGAGCGACACTTGTATATGGAACATGCTGTTGTCATGTGTAAGAACTGCCTTAGGTGGGATCACTGAAACAAAGATTATTTCCGTGGTAGAGTTTTGCTTGTATTTTAATTGTGGTTCACATAAGAATTCATTTTTTTTAAGAGTAGGAAGAATTTATTGAGAGAAAGAAAAGCTCAGAAAGTGGGTTGCCCCAAGAATTCATTTCTACTGTCATTTTTAGATTTTGTAAGTAAACAGTTGATGTTGAAAACGTTGACGTTTACTCTAAGCATTTAAATATTAAAAATTTAGTATTTTATTGACATTTTATTTTCCTGCTAAGTAGACATTGCTTAATATAATAAAACTCATGCAGTTAAAATGAATAATTTGTCAGTTGCAGGAGACCACATAAGAGGAGGGAGGCCTAACTGACCTTCTCTGCCAGCACAAAGGAGAGAAACAGCAAGCCGTGCTCCTTCCGCAGCATGCAGGCATGCCGGTACCTTGCAAGTTTCAGGAAAGAGTCAACACAGCTGAGAGCGGGCGTTTGCCTGCTCATATACTACAGATAACAGCAGGCAGGTGAATCTTCTGCTACCCTAATGGCTTGAGCCTCTGTCTAAGTGAATAAAAGGGAGGCGAGCCAAGTGCTCAGGGCTCTTTGTCCATTGGAGGCCAGAGCCCCTCCCCCCTCACAATTATCTCTGTGTCTTGTCTCTTATCTTCGTTCGCCTGCACCAGTTAGGCATTCCTAGCAGGCTGGCTTTCTGTAGTCAATAGAAATGCTCCTAAAAAATATATGTATCACCCCCCCACCCCATGAACCTTTCCAAAAATTTGTTGTGATGGCCCCAGGGTTGCAAACCCTTTAGTCAGGGGGCAAGGCAGGGGATGGAACTGTAGAAATCGGGTAGAATCAAGACAACATAAAAGAACATCTGATACTAGGAGTGCTTACGACATCAGCCAACTGGCGCCAGTGTTGAGATCTGCGCTACCCACTACTCACCTTCCCTCACTCTCAACTCTGGTTCGTGTGATGTCTAGTAAGTGTAGGTTCTGGTAGAGCACGGGCATCTGGAAGTGCGCAGCAGGTGCTACACAGGACTGCAGCGGACTCTGCAGTTGGAAGACGCGCTCCTGCCAGTCCTGGAGAGGCTCACTGCGGGCGTAGCGAGTGACAGGAGACCCTTCAGCACAGTGTCACGGAGGGCTGGGGTGCCCTCAGACCAGCTGCTGCGCACTGCCTAACCTGGCCAGTGACTGCGCAATCTTTAGGGCTAGGGATCTCTATTCAAAAACTAATAGACTCCCCAAGAGCTTTTATATTATTTCTTGGTACCACTGGGATAGACCCCAAGGCCTTCAAACAGCTACAGTCCCAGCCCTGTAAAAATTTTTTTTAGGCAGAGTCTTGCTAAATCGCTTAGACTGGGCTCAAATTTGCAATCATCTTGACCCAGTCCCCCTGAGCCCTGAGATTGCAGGCCGGTGTAGCCTCGCCAGTCCCAAGAACTTCTCTTTACAGTATACGGTTATATCCGCTGGCATTCGTAAAACATTACTCAAAAACAACAAAACCCGTTGTGTGTTACTATAAGCAACAAATCATTAAAAATACATTTTCCAGCAAATCAATGAAAGCAGGGGCACTGTTTAGGTGTTCTACAAATGCCTTTGGTGTCTGGCCTTACAGAGAGGGGTGGGTTCCCTCAAATCATCTTTGACTGAAAAGTGGGAGGGCGTTCGGCCTTGCCACGTGCTGCCCCGACAGGACACGGGCGTCTCCGAGCGTCTCGGGGCGGCGGACACCCGCAGGAGCTTCCTGGACTCTCCGAGCCCCCGTAGCAGGGTCGCTGCCGGCGGGCGGCGGGGTCCTCAAGGAGGAGCGGTACAGGGCGCCGACCACAGTGGCTAGTGGCAAGGCGGCTGTACAGAGCCACAGAGCTGTTGGACGCTGGCCTGTCATTCTGGAACTCACACTCGGTTTTAGTAAAAGGACCCATGCCTAGAGAGCAGCTTCAGCCACGGCGCCTAGGACCGACAAGCGCAAGCACCCACTTCCGGCGACCCCGCGGGGAGCGCGCAGGGGGCGGAGCCCGCCGTGGCC